ATGAATCCGTCCCATGCAAGTTCACTGACTGGGCTTTAATTTTATGACAACACCAAAGATTTGGTAAATGAATGTTTACATTATGTTTTCTCATGTTGGATTGAGGACAGCAGTAACAGTGGTTCTCAGTTTCATTGTCAGGGAATCTGCTCTGACAACGTAGCTTTCAGTGTTTTTACAACATGCTATGTCTCAAGGAGAGTTAAAGCTCAGATGTCGTCCTCCTTGATGACACTGTTTGTTATACCTGCTGCAGACATAGATCAGTGAAATATGGACACAGTGCAGTGGGCAGAGTGCAGTGGGATCCAAATGGGAAACAAGTCGTCTAAAGCTTCTCCTTCTCTTTCACTAGACAGTGTCTGGTCATCAAAACACATGAATTCCTTTAATATTCTGTAGTTTCATGTTGTCCTTGCTGTAGGGTTGTTGTTGTTGTGTTGTCTCTGTTACAGCTCTCGCTCCATCTCTGTCTCTCAGCCATTTTTATTTAATATCTTATAAATCATGAGTTTAGCTCATATATCGGCCTCCATAGAAATCATTAATCTAACTGATCAGTGGCCAATGCATCAGAGCACCCTCACTGGAACACTGGCACGACAACCCATAATCCCATTATACCACCACCCCTGGGTAATTAAAGAAAAAATCCTGGTGGAAACACTGTGGACACATGGACTTCAGATGGATCTTAATGCAGCGACAGGGTCACGAAGATCAGGCCCAAGTAGCAAGGACATGAACCCTAATGGAGTTTTAATAGATGTTGGCAGGATGTATCTCAGGCTCCTCAATAACAGCAGGATGTGGAAACCCGGACAATGGTTTTTAAATGGTGATGGATGGCAGTAATTGGTTTCATATGCACAGACGGGAAGAGCGTTGGTTACTGGCATACAGGAAGGAGGAGGAGGACGCAGATGGAGTGAATGGGGGAGAAAGATGGCAGCGTCAGGGAGCAGCGTGACGAGCTGAACCCTAGCAGGGTGATCGACAGGTGGAGGAAGGTTGGTGAAAATATGAAGTCAGAGTTTATCAGGAAAACTCAAAGGTACTTTGACAATGTGATAACAAACATGTTGGTTGCTGGGAGACTTTGACACTACTGAGAAGCAGCAGGTGTCTGGTTTGAAACAAGGTGTTGAGATTTCACTCGTCGTCTTGTTCTGCCTTTCATCATGTCTTTTGTGATATTCCACTACTGCAACAAGGCTCTGTCAGTTTGAGGTAGCGCAGCTTTATGAGACTAGACTAGTGATGCCATGGTGTTTGACTAACTATAAAAATAAAGCCCCTCACACTGACAGAAAGCAGTAAAACCTCAACACTGAAAACATCTAAAAAAGTTGTTCTTCTTTCTGTATCTTCTATTCAGTTGGTTAAGAAGATAACTTTTCATTTTTCTCCTTTACCTGACAACATCTGATAAATAAATAAATAAAAACTAAATGTAATTTACTCATTTGACAATTTTCCAAACTGCTCCTGTGACGAGAAATTACAGCCATAACCAGGCATGCCAGGAAATATCAAGTCTGGATTTCTGTAGATGCTAAAGTGTTATGCATGTGTCTATCACAAGAGTGCTGCCCTATAAAGTTCTTCCAAATTCATATGAGGTCAGTCCATGTGACAACTGATCAAAAGTTGAAGAAATTCTCTGAAGGCAGACTTGAGATGGTTTGCTCTACAAAGGCATAGAAATGCATTCAATTTGACATTAAAGATTAAGAGGGGACAATAATCAGATGCAAAATAAAATAAAACATGCAAAACAAATCAGCAAAACTATATTTTTAAAAGACCACACTTAATAAAAGGGGGTGACAAAGCAGTTTTTCAAACATCAACAGGAAATCAATTTTATAATCAAATAATGCTTTTATTTATGTTACAAGCAGAAATAATAAAAAAATCTGCTAGTTACAGCTTGTTAAATGTTTGGATTTGATGCGTTTCTTTGTCATACGTAACAGCAAAGTGCTGTCCAGACAAAACAAGACATAAGATGTTACCCTGGCCTCTAGGAACTTAAAAAGGGCTTTTTATTCATGACGTTATCAGATAGTTTGTCAGGGTTTATAGAGCAGGTGGACTCAAAAACCCAGAAACAAGGCAGGAGCAAAGCAAACTAACAAACAGTGACCTATGTGAAAGATGAAGTTCTTACAAAAAGCAAAAATCCAAACATACATGAACAGAAAAACACTGAGCTTGAAAACAAAACACAAGGAAGAGGAACAAACAGACAAAGGGAAGCACAGAGACTTATATACACAGGGGAGGCAGGGTTGATTGAACACAGGTGAAACACATGAGGAAGAGGAGCAGACAATCACAGGGGCAGGAAACAGGACAAACACAAGAAGTCAAGGCAGAGACACAGGAGGAGTAGAAACTTCAAAATAAAACATGAAACACAGAACCCAGAATAAAACAACCAAACACAAACCTAAACACAAGGAAACATCCATAAACAAAAGAGTCCACAAACAGAACCAAAACACCACAAATCCAAAATACTCCTCATCTTAGAGGCAAATTCCAGAGAGTCATGACATATTTGTTCTCATTAACTTACTCTTTTATGGACTCAACTCTGTTATACAACTTTATTATTATTTATTTATTGGAATACAATCTAAATGATGAAAACTAAATATGTTTATGTAAAAAACTAAATATGTTTATGTAAAAAACTAAATATGTGTATATTTTCTATACATACGTTTATTCTTTGAACTGCACTATCACTATTTAATTACATCATGTTAAGAAAGAATGACAGATTGTGTATTTACTTTATTTTTCTATTTTTGGATTTGCATCAAAATAAACATTAACATACACAGTAATTGGATTTGCATGTGTGGCCTAGATTTGAAACAGTAACTATAATTTCTGTCAGCTATTATCAGGTTTGTGAGATAAATTGTGAAGAATTCCACGAAAGACTGATGAAACCATGTACCTTTATCCTTCTGCTGTAGTAGAGATGATGCTAAAGGAATTCCAGTGGTTCACAGAGACGTTTATCGACAGACAAGAGTTCATATGTTATGTTAAATGTCTAATAAGGCTTATTTGTAAAAAAATATATAAGCAGATTGACAGAATACCGATTATTCATTGACATTCTTCAGTCAGAACAGTAAAAGCTGAAGACTTAAATTACCGCACTGTGGTTGAATGCCTCCTCCAACCAATGCAGTTTCTGTTTACATATTTCTACATCCACCTTGACCTTTGACCTTTGACCACCAGGACATACGTACAGACTGAAGACAGACAGACAACCTGAGAACATAATGGTAGTAGTGTTTATCTGCTCTAATATAGGCTCCAAATGTGAGCATGTCTGAATTACTAATTTACAACCCCCTTTAGAAATGTAACCCCTTACTCTCTTCAACTAGTATTAGCATTTAATTAGCCAGCTACGATATCTTTTGCATATTTATTTAATATATGTTTTTATTTACAAGTTGCTTTGGAAAAATAAATCCATTCACAACTAGCATATCCACTTCACACAAGCTGCATGGTATGTTACCACTGTAGCACATGTATGTGGCCGTTATTAAGACCAATTTCTAATTAAAAAAATTCAAAAACAGATTTTTGTTCATTTAGGTCATGATAATGATAATGATAATTTGCTATCAAGAATGAAATATGTTAATGATAATTCACACAGCCATTACACCATCCTAAGCAACAGAGAAAAAATATGAATGTGGTGGAAAATAGGAAATAAAGAAATTATAAGTTACCGCCAAAATTACGGGGAAACCAAAGGGCTGAAAAATAAATTAGCAAGTGAAGGCTGAATAGAAAACTAGATAAAGTTTTGATTTCATATCATTGTAAGAAAAACATATTAAATACTTAACTACATTTTTAACCAACTTTTTGCATTTTCATTTTATAAAATATTATTTAAGGACATACTGAGGGAAATGTTTCACTTTTCTGATAACATTTTACTAACCTCTAGGTCAGCAAAGGCTTAATGAAATAAAGGTGTTGATTTTTGCAAAGAGCACTTGACACAGAGGGATTTAAACACACTGGAAAAGATAAAACTTTATTCTTCCCTGTCGTGACAATACAAAGTCAACAAGTGCAATAACAATCCAACTGAAAACGGTACATTCTATCTAGTAGTAAATACATAGACAGAACGTGGTGCACTTCACCACCACCACACCCAAAAAGTGAGGTATCAACCACTACAAAGCTTCTTTGTGTACGGGTGGGTATTCAACTGTAAGGCAACTGTTACCATGACAACCTGGAGAGAGAGAGAGAGAGAGAGAGAGAGAGAGAGACGTGTGCTCGCTTTTCCCCTTCATTTTAATTATTTATATTTTTTTTATTAATTTTTTGGGGGAAAGAGGGTTGAGCTGAAACGATTTACAGTACTACATCACATCAGGCCAGAGTCAAGACTGTTTTCAACAAAACAGAAAACATCACAAAACCCAGTTGTAACATCGTAAGAAACTATAACGAAAAAGATTCCTCCTTTGTTTCTGGAGGAGAATCGTTTTCGACCCTGCTACTGCTCGTCAGAAAGAAAATGAAGCTTTTATTTTCTCCTATGTGTTTATTATTACTTTATTGGTGATAATAACAGACCTACTTTGCCTTATTACACATTAGAAACATAGCAGAGCGCCCTGAAAACCAGACACCTTCCCTTACACATTAGGTTTTTTTCCCATTTAATGCAGCATTGGGGACTAATTAAAACCCCTTAGTGCTTCTGCACCTCTTAAAACTTCTCTTCCCTGTTTGCGTGGCTGTTCACACTCTGGGAATACGAAGGCAGCTACCGCAAAAAAGTGATATTTAGAGCCGCTGCTGATCCCTGGGCCAATTATTTCACTCGGACTCATTCTGCCTCTGTGCCCCCGAAAGTGATATGGCGTGATGCCACTGAAATGGGAATAAACTTGCTCATACTCAGCAAATAGCAAATGTAAATATTATTGCTGATAACTGAGGATGACGCCCAGCAGGCCCCCCACCACTTAACTGGAGTTCTGTTAGGGTCCACTTACACTTCATGAAACAGACAGAGGATAAATATGAAGGCAAGACCCATTGAAGCAGCTCAGAGGAACCCCCCCCCCACTGCAGTGCCAGGATTAACACTTTCTCCTGTTAGCTTTAGACGAGGACTTTTGCACTATGTGCACGGAGCAGAGAAGTCAGTGCACGTACAGGCTTGGCAGCTGCTGCATTACTGTTACAGATGTGAGATTGGGCCTCTCTCTTGTACTGGTCCCACCTTCGGTCCATCTGCTCTTCACACTGTCTGGCAGCTGCTTTGTTTGCTCTCCTTAGACAGAATGGACAATGTTGATGGACGACACAAAATGCCAAACAATTCTTTAGTCCCAGTTCCTCCTTTTCTTTGTCTCACATGATCATTAAATATCTTTAGATATTGGACTTTACAAAGGGATAATTTGAGGAGGTCGAATTGTTACAGGCATTTGTCACTATATAGCCTACTGAAGTCATAGATAATTGAGAAAATAAATGACTAATTAATCATTAATTAACTCTTGCAACTCCAAAGGATTTTAATTTGACAATCAATTAATTGTTTTAGTGTATTTTCATTAGTCTAGGGGGATTCTAAGCTTTTCATGAGTACCTGAACTCACATGCCGGGAAGTTTAATTATTTTTTAACATTTTATAGATTAAATAATTATTTGATTAACTGAGAAAATAATTGGCATATTAATCAGTAATTAATCAAAGATTTTACGATATTTAGATAATCAGTTAAATGTTTTGAACAACTTTTCATTTGCTAGTTCCAAAGTGTATCCAATAAGGATTTTAAAATAATTTAGTTTTATATTGATCAGAAATCATAACAGGATTTTTTTTTACTATTATTTGACATTTTATGAAGCTAATTGTTCATTGATTAACTGAGAAAATAATTGGCTGATATTAAGTAACCACGGCAGCGTTAAGTAGAAGCTTATCTTTAAAGGATGTGAACATTGTTTTCATTTTCCTTTCATGAGTCCGACACAGAGACGGTAGGACAGCGTTTTCAATACGAGTTCATTATCCAGTAACACTGTACGACTGTTTCTCTGACTTAACCTTCATCTTGAACGTAAACCAGCTGAAGCCTCTGCGTTACACCTCACTGAATACCCAGGGCTCGTTTGGCTGGCAGCTCATTTCATTCTCCTGGTTAAGCTACTGTACATTATTGCTGACAGTGGAGGAGATTTTCTGATGATGTGTTCTTTACATTTTCTGTTATGGCTAATCGCTTGTAATTGTCTATTACCAATGTGGGATATAGAGTGCAGCTTATGAAGGAGCATAATGTGTAATCATTTGCATCATATTGCTGATGAGGCTGTTTCTCAGGCAGCTCCTGTGATGACGAAGGGCAAACAAGTCTTTGGATGATTTGCAGACTCAACTGTCACAGACTAACTTTATATTGTATCATCTCAAATGGGCGTTTAGAATCATAGCCAATGGTTGAGGTCATGTTTAACTTAGCATAACACTCTTTGCTTTTTCGAAAGGCTTCCCCGATCCTTATTAATGTTTTAGTTGAAATGACTTATTCAGACTTAGGATTCCTTTTTCCTCACTGTCACTGGAAACCACAGAGAAACCTTGATGACCCTAATGTAAAACCTTACATAACTGCGTGGCATCATGTCTTTGTCAGACAGGTTCCAATAGTAGGAGCCCACTTGTTTTGCAGGAAGGAGACCTAATGTATTTCAAAACATTACATATTTTCATCATGGCTGCAGAAACGTTTCGTGTCTGGTTTCAGACGGAACAAAAAAACGTTCTACTCTAAGCAAGATGCTCAGCATCAACCTAAGCTGTTACACGTTCTGAATGTCAACCACTCTTATATTTCTCTCACTACTTCACACAAATAAATCACCAAATAGATAAACCATGACTGTGTCTAACTGCTACTGAACACAAACTGACACAGCAGTGTAATAAACATTTTATATCTAGAAAGATGAGCTTCTTTGTCTTTTGTCGAAAACAGGCAAGCCTCCTCGCTTGCCAGTACGGTACAGTTTATCCAGTTGAGCTTGGATTTATCTGCGGGTACTCCAGGCCTTGGCGCATGTTTAAGGGGATCACTGAACACCTTCGAGCAGCTGAGTGTGAGTGTCACTCCTCTGCTGTGACCAAAGCACCACTGTCTTCTGTGTTTCCTTACAAATTTGGTTGTTAAATGCCATATCAGTCTGCTTCTGTCAGTCCTTGGGTGAGTTGTGCTCATTAGAAAGGTGCAGTAGTCACTTCTAACTACTACAGTATGGCTAGCCCACGAGTGGTCTTTGTGTCTGTGGTCCAGAGAGTGACGTCTGAGGGGGCAGCTCCTCTGTGCCATAAGGGAACAAGATGTTGCTACTCTTCAGCTCATCCACTCGCAGCATCGCTCTGCCAGGAAACAGAAAATGAGATACATTGGTGACCTTGGGAAGATTAGTTGTACAAGAATGTTTTTATGACAGTGTCTACTTGCATCCTTTTTCAGAAGCTTTTAACCACATCTTTATTTCATAGCAGTAGTGGAGGAGATGTCAGGAAACAAAAAGGAGAGAGATGTAACAATATCCCAGGCCCAGTTTAAAAAAAGTTAAAAGCCAGGGAAGTGTCACTGGTTATTTACGAACAAGAGATCCTAAATGTTCTCTGGTGATCTACATCAGATTCTGAGACTAGTTTTGGTCTGGTTTTCCGTATTTTACCACATTAGTGAAACTGCAAGAATCCTAGACTAAAAAATGGTGCTGAGAAAAAACAGCATTAATTGAATTAACTGGAAAAATAAAACAATTCCATAGTTAGATCGTATGAAAGATCTATCAATCCATCAATTAGTAGCTAGGTGGTTCAGGAAAATAATTGTTGGTTGCAGCCCCGATAACAACTAAACCATATCCATAAAAACAACTATACACAGTGTGGTTGAATACTTTGGAGAACTGAGCAAATATTGGTCACACATATATATATATATATATATATATATATATATATATATATATATATATATATATATATATATATATATATATATATATATATATATACAATCATCCAGAACAAAACTATCATCATCAAAATCCACCGAATTGCCACAGAACATGTTTGGGAGAAATCTGGTGGATCACGACGAGGCTTTTGGCTGCGCAGCTGAAACTACCTCAGATCATAATGTCTGTACTTTGTGCTTTATGAGCTTCACTGGTCTTTATAGAAAACATAGCTTTCAAACCAGGCCTGAAAACACAAATACTAATAAAAAGGGACAGCTTTGCTTTTCAAACAGCATAGCATAGTATTATTTTACAAGTGTTTGATTCTTGTAAAAACTGTAGACTCACCCCACCTCTATGAATCAAATCTGCAGCACTCACTTCTGTTGCCCAAAATAAGAGATCCACATTGCTTCTTGGAAAATAAAAGTTTCCACTTCCTAACTTTATTGCTTTTTTATGCATTTATATGGACAGAGGGATGTTTATCAGCAGGATGATGTTGATGCTTGTGCTCATTGTTCTCTTAAGATTAGAAAAAGTATTTTATTGCACTTCTGAATATTGACTAAAATGCAGAGTTCACATGTGAAAACAAATCTAATTAAAGATCACAACCCCTGCCCAAAAATAAACATGAAAAACTGCAGCAACTTCTTTCGTTCGTGGCTACGCCATGAGTCATTCTTCAACTCGCAGAGAGCAAAAACATTCCCGAGCTCTTCCCTTTAGCCTGCAGCATGACTCTGTGCATGGCTGCCTTTGTAGAATCTATGATGTTAATTAACTCATACCTCATGGAGAGTGTTGCTTTAATTGGACAAGGTCTTGGCATGGTCCATGGTGGACAGACAGGCCAGGAATAATATCATAATGTACAATTCTATTATTAACACAGAAAGCCAAGGATGTATGTGAATATGCAGGAGACGGAGCTTTGCTTTGATCAAACTCTGACAGAAAATGAACCCAGTAAAAAAATGAAATTGCTGTATCAGTTTCCTGTGCAGAGCAAAGAGTGAATGTCATTTCCTCTGCAGACAGACCAGCGGCTGTTTAAGTGCTATTATCTGTGGCCAAAGTGATACGAGAATGTATTCACTATCATGCTAGTTCACTGATCAGTTAGAGTCAGTGTTGTACTGGATGAAAACATAAGCGTTGCATTCTATTTTCTTTTCTTCTTTCTTCCTTTTTTTATTAATATTTTATTGTCTAACTGTCCCAGTAAGTTACCATTCTTGAGTGAGGATGGAGAACCGCATTATGTGCTGCTGCTGCAATTTGTTACGTGCTTGCTATTTGACCTGTTTTGGTTCATGAGCAATGTCATTGAATGTTGTCCAAGATCTTACTTCTCCCACCAGTATCTTCTGGATGATAATCAGGATACATAAGAAGTCTTAAAAGCAAGTATTTGCTATTGCTATTGACTATAAACTGTATGCACAGTCTGATGACATGACACCCCTCCAAAAGTAAGTAAGTGGTGACTGGATGCAATATAGGTCATAAACCCTGAGGGATGTATGTCCAAGTGCAGTTTTAGTTAATTATTTAATTATATGCTATAAAAATGGGACAGCTGAGTCTTAGTCACGATTGGTCAGTGGGACCTTAATACCTTGTAAAGTGATTCATTATCACCTCTAAGTGGTATAACAAAATGGGATGTGAGCTACAGTAGATGGTTAGCATGTTTTAAACTATGAACACTTACATATAAAGCTTTAAACCAATGTGAGCAAAGGAGCAGCATATTATTAAATCTTGATTATACAGGTATTTTTACACATAAGTCTCCAACAGCTCTGAGTAAAGCCTCACTTTCATTCAAAATGTGCAGTAAAGCCACACTGCAGTGACGGCAGCAGATCAAACATCTCTCACAGTTCTAAGAGTGTCAGTGTGGGCAGGCTACACAGGGAATTGTAAAATGAGTGATAATGTAGTGGATCCTCCCTGCCAACTCTTTTTAAAGTGATATTCAGAAGATTCTGCTGCTCCCCAGTGTTACTAATTGCAAAAGGTGGATAATTGGGCTAAGAGGGCTGGCACAAACTGGGATCCCGGCCAAACTTTTAATGTCCTTATAGCAAAAGTGGACGACCTTTGGGGCGTAAATGCCGCTGAGTGCTTTGTGGAGACAGAGCAGGAGCTTCCCGGAACAGCTGCAATTATTGCCATTTAAAGGGTTTTACAAAGGACCCTTTAAAGATCTGTGACGCCAAAATGTGTTTTTATTTTCCTTTTTTATGGCCATGAGATGAGCTGGGTGCAAAATGTTCCATGTTCATGTTCCATAGGTGTAAATTTGAATGGATTTTAAACTGGATTAAAAAGGAATAGTTCAACACTGCTTATTCATGCAGAGAATTAGATGAACAGATCAATACCACTCTCATGTCTGCACGGTAAATATTTAACTGGAGCCTGCAGCTGTTAGGTTAGCTCAGCGGTAGGAGTGAAAACAAGGGCCAACAGCTATAGCTTGGTTCTGCCTTCCATCTGCACACATGCAGACTATTATTGATGCCCTCTCCTGCAGTATGTAGTGTTCAGGCTGCCTTGAGGTGTGTATTGTGCACTCACATGCAGCTGGTATTAAATTGGATATTTACACCTGTTTATAATCCTTATTTTGTATTTTTCCTCCTAAATGCAAATATGTAGATCGTTAGCTACTGTGGGACAGCCTAATCGTGCAAAGCGGTCTTCAAATGCAACCTCTGAAGGATGCAGCCACTGTATTGGGACACATGCTTGTGTTGTATATTTCTTTTTTCATATATCTTTTATTTCTGTCTGTCCAATTTCCGCAGCAGTAGAATGATGTTGGATCGCCGCTTGAATGGAGATGGATGGAAATCGTAGCTAAGTTGGCAGCAGACATTCTTCGGTCGAGGCAACGCACCTTCTTTTCCTACATCAGGCTCATCATAGTATTGTGCTCAATGAGGGGCAAAGATTAATGTATCCACCCAGGAATCATGGAACTATGACTGCAGATGCGAGTTGAAGTCGATAAATACCCACGACCCCTGAAGAGTCGTTTAAACCAGGAATTGTGCCCTTTCACTGAAAATAAAAAAACAGATGATAGTGAGTGATTTTTCTCCATCCAGTGTCAAAGGGGCTTCAGTTGAGATACTCTACAATTTTTCAACTGCAGAAGTTCCCCATCGGGTACAAATACCACTGATTTGGATTCACTGGCTAAGAGCGAGTCTTGTTTGCGGCCCTGTGTAGCACTGCCTGCAGAGGTAGGGCATACAAAGGCCACTGCCCATGTCATGTACCAGTACAGAAAAAAAACGGTGACCTCTCGACTTTCTCCAAATAACAAGTCTGCTTTCAAAAACTGTCTCTTTCTAACAATCAAATCTTGCAGCAGACATTTTGACGTGTAAGAAAAGCACAGGTGTTCCTGATATTATTAATATGGCTCTGCTCCATTCACCCGTCACAGAGATTCATTTCATTATTTACATCTGTACTCTCCCACCGTTACCTGTCAAAAACTGTGCCGTGAAAAGGCCTGTTCTCTGCTGCTGCTGCCTTCAACAGCCACATTACTCTGTGAGTAAACTCCCATCCGCTGGCAGTTCCCCACTCATAAAAAAGCAATGTGTTCTGCCTATAAAGTGAAGATAAACAATTAATATTGGGCTCAGCAGACCCTGCTAAGAAATGACACCAGTTGAGCTTCTTTTATTTGTTTAAACTGAAGTGAATACATGAATAGGAGAAACTAATAAAGGTTATTCGCAGAGATAAAGTAATAACTGCTTCTGAAGCTGCCCACACTGAAAAAACCCCTGCAGATCAGCAGCAGCAGATACCAGCCTGCTCACATAGCAATATGGTAAATAGTTTTTCCCACATGCTGAATGCAGAGCTGCCCTCTCTCTGGAGAAACACGTCTACACATGTGGAGAGATGATACTTTGACTTGCTCATGCAGGATTGCTCTGCCACACTGGTAGTCATTTATGTGGGATTCCTGAGTTCCTGTGCGACTAGTTTGTTTTTAGACGCTGAGCAGCTTGACCCCATCTCTGTTTACATTTGGCCAGCAGATGTTCAGCTTAGTGTACGCAGTTTTCTGAGCCACTACCCAGCATTCTCTCTGGGGATACTGTACCCCTGCAAACAAGCCATGGGCCATTTCATGACGCACATTGTGGGCGACATGGGCCGTGGTAAACATATACAATCACATGACGTGGTTACTTACACTTAACAAGAAAAGGTGTAAGCATTAACTGAACTGTGAGAAGTGCATCACTGTGTGAAACTGCACTCAGGCTATTCTAATCGTGCCCCAGAAACTGCTTGTGACTGTTTTTAGCTCCCAGCATCTGTTGACTTTTTTCTCCAGATGTGAACGATTACACAGGAATATTTTTAGTTCTTTGTAAATGCTGTCCTGTTTATTAAAAAGTTACAAAAGATGTTGCACATACAATTACTCCAGACTGCCATCCACCCTGAAGCAGTTTCTGGCACTATAATCAGCATGAATTACTCTGACTAACATGAGAGCTATAAGCGTGCTCTCATTTTCCAGGCCCGCTTTGTCAATGAGCATCTTCCTGAAGTTTTAAATACCTATTTTTAGACATCCTGTAGTTTAAAGCTGGAGATCTGCAGTTACAGGTCAACTCTGCCAGGGTGTAGATTGATGAGTCCTATCATAGTGAACTGACTTTGTGTCTAATGAGGAGGCTCCGTGGATGTGTCCAGTCTCAGCTAACCACATTTCCACCAGCAGAGCAGCCCCAGGATCCTTCTCCAGCACCCTTGCTCCTCTATCTCAGGCTCCCTCTGTCCACACTGCTTCTCAAAGCCATTTGTCAAACCTCTGCCCGCATTAAATTATCATGACCTGAGATAGATGTCTACCTCTAGCGAGTCTCCAAGTCCCAAGCAGACAGCTAGGGTGCACGGCATCTGAGACAGAGAACCCGAATGAGAAATTGACTGCACAAAAATGTTGGTTTGTCCAGGCTGTTCTCTAATGATTGGATGGCTGTATTATGAAAGTCTGAAGAATGGCGAACAAAAGAAGAAAAGTTCCCAGTGGCCACCGTGTGTTATAGTTCACTCCTGGGGTTGTAAATCAAAAGTCTGACACACCTTGAGACGCCTGTGACAGCTGTCAAAGGAAACAAACAGATATACTGAAAGGACAGCAGATGGTGTCTTTCTACAGAAAACTCCATGAAAGGTTTCTAATGTGACTCAGATTTGAATCATCAGGTTAAATATGGGTTATGGGCCCCTGGCAGACAGGGAAGCTTTCACATTATTCTGTTCTTTTCTAATCATTAATGATGACAGCTCCCTAATGACACAGTCAGATTTAAAACTAAGAAGACTGCTCTCTTACAAAAGAGGCTCATGTTGAGACAGTGCAGCTATTTTGAGATGAAAGACAAATACAGATCAGATGCTTTGTAGACATAAATCTATTATTGGGCAGAAGGGTTCGTCAAATATTGATAAAGTCTGTATTACTTCTTCAGAGAAAAAAACCTGCATTGAAACAATTTAATTCTTGATATCGATACAATGTGTCTCCTACACGCCGCCATCTTGTGTGTAATGGGGATGGGGGTGGGGGGTAGCGAGGTCCCATTGGTACATGCACTCGACCAATCATGAGTCAGACTCAGCTGGCAATCACGATGTTTCATCTTGTTTTTATTGCATCAAATAACTAATTGACACCAAAATGTCCAGAAAACACTTGTAAATAAATCAGTATGATAAGAATTACTTAAAATGATATAAACCCATCTTTTCAGAAAAATTTATTTGATATGCACTTTTTAGTTTGGTCCACGTTCGATCCACTAAAGTGGAGGAGGCAGGATTCATGACCTATACTGCAGCCAGCCCCCAGGTGGCGCTCAAGACGCTTTGGATTAACTTTTGGGAGGAAAAATGGCGTCCATCTTTAAATACAGTCTATGATAACAGATGAATCATTTTCATTGTAGTCAGGAGTGTGTGTGTGTGTGTGTGTTCTAATATGTGAGCAATGCGCTTTTAATAAGAACAAGTAAATGGGGAGCCTGAAGTCTGAGCTTCTCCGTTTTGGTTTTGGAAAATTATACTGGAATCGCTCTAATTTATCCTTGTAGATAATATCTTTCTGCCAAGTAGCTCTCGATGTTACAACACACAGAGAACAAAGAGAAACAAGAAGATTAGACATAAAGAGAAACAATGTTAAAAAGAAATGAAAGAAACAGTTTTTCAGTCTCTGCACTGTTTCAGACAGTGATTCTCATACAATTATTCATTTGTGTTGCTACAATATTAATATTGAACATTTTCTATCTTTTATTGTGAAGCAGCATGCAGAGCAGACTCTAAATTGTTCTGTCTCACTAGAGACAACAGACCTGTCAGCAAGCAGCCCCTCTCCCCTGTGCAGACATCGATCCATTACAGTACAGCTGAATTTACTAGTTTTGAGGTGCTTTTACTTTCCTTTTAGTTTTAACATTTTTATCTATTCAATTCTTCTGCTCCACTTTCACAATTCCAGGAGATCTCAGAGGCAAATATTCTACTTTAACAACCTAGATTCAGATTAATAATACAATATAGAACACACAAATTATGATGGATAATCATAGTTTTTAATGTATAAAACCTCACCCATACTAATGGCAACATTCAACATGAATGCATTGATAATAAGAAAAACAATAATATGATGATTATGATTATCTTTTATCAGGGCAAATATATGGTGTTCTCTCTCTCCAGTCAAGTAAAGTTTATTTATATAGGAGGTTTAAAACAACCACCATTGACCAAAGGGCTCATTTCTATATAAACAAACAGCAGACGTAGAGAACCCTCAGTAATGTTTGCTTCTATTCATTCAGTTTCGGCTGCACAAAAAAATGCTTTGACATTTCTCCTCACATGGTAGAAAAAACCCTGGCTGAGCTACATGTTTGTGAAAGACTTTTTGTTTTCTAGTATGAATAATAGAAATCTTTATTCTTATTATATCTTTATCTTTCACCAGAGACTCTTTATTCTATCTCTGATGGTTTATGCCATGACCTCGGTTGCTGCGGCAACCACCAATGGGGACTGGGCCAGTAGGATTCAGAGAGCTAGAGACCCACAATGAACTATGTTTTTAGTGAGGAAACAAATTTACAACAGCCTCATCCATCGTCCTGTTTATTACTTATAAATCATTATTTATATGCAACAAACTCCTCCAATGAGACTTCTTTGTGAAGATTATTTACCCAGAAATGTTCTATGATGCAAATCTTGGTGTGCTGGCTCCTGCAGCTTCACAACAGACATGTGAACTGAACTGCGGGTTGTCAGTGGTCACGTGACAGACAGTGACTCACCATGCAGTGGATGTGTTGTAGGGCAGGAGCGTCGGGCTGTGGCTCTCCTCTCTGAGGCTGTGTCGGGGCTGGTAGTGGCTGGGCACCATGGGCTGGGCTTGAGCCTGGGCTTCACTTTCCTCCGGCATGGACCTGTGCCACTGACTCCGGGCCTTCTTCAGCCAGCGGCCACCAAGACCCCATTTCTCCAGGTAGACCCGGCACAGCTCGTAGTTTATGGCTGAGTAGTAGAGGAAGTCCAGTGCCAGCAGCACCATGACGAAGAAGCCATAAATCCACACGCCGACCAGGGCAGTATAATTACTTCAGGAGACAGACAGGGAGTGCACAGTGTAATCTGGTAAAATGATGATAAACACTCCTCACATGCTCTAAGCTACTGTCAGATACTCTTAAGCTGTGGATATGATGGAGCTGCCAAGTGTGAATATTTGCTCTTTGTGTGGCAAGGCCGAGATATTCACAAAAATCCTCCCTGGATAAGAACCACAGAGAAACCTCCATCTGCTCCATTTCCTATTTTTTGAAAACGTTGGACAAAGACTTTCTTTAGCACAAAAGTATTTTTAATTTATTTCATTTTGGCTTCTTCATTGTGCCTCTAAAACTCTGTTGTCCTTGTTTTCACCTCTCATAAATGTTCTCCATGATTCATCTGGACTTAATTTGCACTTTATTTTACTCAATCCACATCCATAAAATAAAACAAGGTAACAGAAACAGTGCGACTGAATATTTCTGAATTTATTTATGATGCTGATTCAGTCCTATCTGGAGGATAATGAAGAAATATTTTGACTCTGAAAGACAGAGATGAAACAGGATATTACTTCAAAATCAACTCTTCTGGAGGGAACCCTGTCTCTTATCAGATCTTGGCACATTTTGAAACGTACTTCTTGTGCTTCTACACAGTAGATCTAGAGAATTCACATTCTGAAAATATGTGGTTGTAGGGCTATTTATCTGCACTCAAATTCCCCTGCATTCACCTTTTTCAACAACTCCAAAATTTACATACAGAAAAATGGGGGAAGGAAACATAAGGATGTCGTCATGATCAGTAAAAGACAAAAACAACCAGTCAATTCACACAATTACTTCATTGGTCCATCAGAGTCAATAATAATAAATTTTTTAAAGTGATATCCTAAGATTTTTGTCGTTCAAATGCATTTACCTTTCCTTATCATGTCCGTGTTGGCGACACTTATCTAGTTTGTTTGTCTGTTATGTTGATTTGAGGGGCTAACAGGGTTTTCTTAGTTGGGTCAACCGGGATAAGCAAACTGTATGTGCACGATGCTCTAAAGGATCAATCTTGACCACACAACTAAAAATGATGTTGTGTTATTCAATATTTAAACAGCCTTCTCAATGTAAGAAAGCACATGCAAGTGATTATCATGTCAAAGGTTTGTGGTTTTTCTCGTTGCTTTTAAATACACAGTCTCAGATTACTTTTATTCTGAATTGTGATCCTGCAACATTTTAGCTGCTCTGTAAACATATAGAAGGCAATACACTGACCTATGAAACCCACACAGGTCTTTGGTCTTATTCATACTGCAATAAATCTTTAACTAAAACAAATGTCACCATGCAGTGTGAGTGAGGAGCAGAATAATGGTCAGTTTACTTCGCTTGGCCGGTGTTAAACATCAAACCTGCTCTCCATCTTCTGCTGAGCTCGGATCAAAGAGCGGCCCAACAGGGCATCTGACACAAAAATGAAATATCATGACCGGTGGCAGGGCAGTGTGAACCATCCCAGACAGAGGCATGCTGGGAGGACATTAGTACAAAGAGCTGTGGTTTTGTCACCCAAACCTCCCACTGAGAGCTCCCACAGATCGAGAGGCTGTGTCCTTCACTCAGAAAAAACCTGCACACAATGAATATATTGATGTTTCTTGCCACCTTATAGTTTACTATTAATAATGCTGGATAAGCGCACCTTTATTTATTGTGTGAAATTCTATGACACACTCATGGTGGCACTTCATATAATAGCCAACACTTAACACCTGCCTTTGTGAGCTATCATGTGGAGGCGTCCCGCTCTCAACACAACAACTGCTCTCAGCATCTGCTCCTCTCCATGCTGTGTTTTAATGCTTTCGGAGGTGTAGATCAATGTCAACAAAAGTGTCTGAGCAAGAAGCGAGTGGTGTCAGTGAGGGTGATACCGTCGAGGGATGGAAGTGTTGGTGAGTCTGCAGATCTGATCTGAGGAGACGTCACTTCTCTGAAACTGCTCGTTTTATCATAGCATCACATTAAACTCTGCTCACGATTCAGCACAAGCTCATCTTTTCCCTTAATTATCTGCACCAATGTTTTGTTCCTCTTTGGTTTAGGAGGATACCTCAGAATTTCAGTTTAATTTGGTGAAAAGTCCCACCATGGGTGCCACCATATATCCACATATTCCTTCTTTTACTTTTGAACTATCTTTTAGTATTTTATGCCTTGGTGGTTACAGTGGAGACAGACAGGAAATGAGAGCAGAGGAATGAAATGCAGCAGATTGTCCATCCAGAGGGAAATCAAACAAGGGACTTGCTGCTCAGGGATTTAGAGCCCATGTGGTATGCGTCTTAACCATCCAGCTCGAGTATGTTTTTTCTTACACAATACATCAAATTTAGGAACATATTGAATCTGAGATTTAAAAAATGATCTTGCAATATTTTGTGAATTGACTCAAAGTCGTATTATTAGGAGAATAAAGTCATAATTTAATGACACGCTGATCTTCTGAAATGCCCCCTTTAACATAACACATACAAAATACTTAATCCTCCTAAATGTAAAACTATTTTTATCCATCCATCCAGTATTCCCACCAGGTTTGGTAAAAATCTGCCCAATGAGCTTCCATCACTACTAGCGAGCAGCGATAGCAGCATTAGTAGACTGGGCACTGTTAATTTTTAATATAGATATACTGGAGCCTATAGGCCACCTTTTATTAAAACCAACAAATTTGGATAAACTGTGTTGGCAGAGGGATTCACTCCCTGAGGGCCTGATGGGAAATAATTAAATCACAGAGGAGGGCATCCAGTATATGCCTAGAATATAATGACCTCCTTACAGTATCCTCATCACAGCTGGGCTGCTACCCCTGGTGTGGAGGGAATTCCCTGTTTGTCTGCACCTTAGATAATAACGACATTTACATTTTTCCCAAATGTAAACAGAAATCCAACTAAAACCAAAAACTAAAGAGAGACTAAGACAAATGAGGTAGTTGACAGGGCAGACAGAAAGTGTAAAGGGGTCAGACTGGGTTAAAATGGCAGTAGAGTGTTACTCACTTGTGTGCGTATCCATCTGAGGTGGTGGTGAGGTTGATCTGCATGACCATCTGGAACTCCGTCTCGTTGCAGCAGTATTTGAAGGCCGTGTTGTTGTGGTGGCAGCAGAACATGTAGGTCTTGTTGTCTGACAGGCGCGGGCAGTGAAAGCCAAAGTGGTAGCGCCCCTTTTGGTCAGAGTAGGGTTCACACACCCGGTAATGAGCTGAGAGAGCTGCGGTGTTGAGGAGGATAAAGATGTAGATGAAGAAAACCATTCAGTGATTGTCATGAGGAAGGATCTAGATACACTGGTGGATGATAGATGTCTTTTCATTAATTTCAGACAGGTCAGCATTTGAAAGGCAAGAGATCTCTCAGGTTATAATGAGCTTGGTGTAGCTACCCATCATCCCTTTAGCAGAGGAGGGGTAGAGTGTAGTGGTGCTGAAGGAAGCTGTATGATTAGAAGTAAAGGATGGCTAATTTAGTGAAAGAAAACTTCGATTGAGCTTTGCATTTGCCGTACATGTCGGTGAATCAGTGACTCTGCAACCAGCTCATGTAAACTGTAAATCCTCACACCTAAAGGAGAGGCAGCATTGTTGTAAGTGAACTGACTAAGTCATCAACTTGAAGGGCAGTGCAATGCATCGCATAGATTTATCTCCCCCTTAATCAATAAAAACAACTGTCTTTGCTAGTTTCTGACTCACACTTTTTCCCATGCAGCTCCCACACTGTTTAAATAGCAAACATATTCCCCATCTTAGCACACACGGATGTGTTGGTCTCAGAACGAGGTGTGGTCTGGTGCACGTTTGTGCAATTAATCACCAAAAACTGTTCTTAAGCCAAGGTTTAATTATTTTATTGCAACACATAGCAAGATTGAAATATGAATCTGAGTAGATGGGTGCATGTTAGACTCACAGATGATCTGCTTTTGCACAGTGACAGTGCTCTCTCTTACTAAGTGGTAAATCCATTCCATTCATGTACACCTGGCTTTTAAAGGGAATGGAAGATGGTATTCTGAGAGGTTTATTGAATATTAGGCCCAAAACACAGCAAAGATTTTTCTTTTACTTTTCACCTATAACCTTTTTCTTTTCCACTTTTAAGTTCAGGTGAATTTCAAAATGCCCTAAAGCACTTATACACTAAAATATCCTCACATTGTAATATTAAAGACCAAAGGTTCGTAAATAGAAGAGTTTAGGGGAACTCTCCAATTTTGCAAATGAACAACAGCTGCTTCTGGAAGCAACACAGGTACAAACTGTATATAAAGAGGTACAAACACACCCGTCCCCTTAATTTCATTAACACCTCTTGGAATTCAGGATATAGTAAACATCTTTGCTCTTGTATTTCACTTTGTTTACAACCTGCAGTCTGAAAAGACTTATGGCTCAAAGTGCAGCCAACAACACATAGCATCAGAGCATCAGTCAGTGCACACGTCATGTTAGTATATTCATCAAAGCTGCAAGTTTGTTGACATTGCACTGAAACATGGACGAAAAGTGGCTATGATGTATTTGTTATTCAATCAGTGTTCAGTCATTATTAATGGTGCTAAATGACAAATGACAAATAGAAAAGCTGCGTCGAAAATGAAAAGAATCGAAATTGTAATGCAATCTAATTTCCTTAATAAAATCTTGATTTAATTTGTAAAACCAGAAGTACCGCACTGCGGTTGTATGCCTCCACCAACCAGTGCAGTTTCTGTGTGTATATTTCAACATACTTTTTTTCCAGATTCATATAAAGGTCACTCTAACCTTTACCTTTGACAACTGAAACATAATCACTTTATCTTTGAGTCCAAGTGACAACTGTTCAAAAGTTGAAGAAATTCCTTCAAGCAGTCTTAAGACGTCACATTCAAGAGGCCAACAACATGTTGTCACATTGTTTCCACATGTCACCTTGTCCTTTGACCTCTGAAATCTAATCAATTTATCACTGTGTCCAAGTGAATATTTGGATCAATAAATTATTCTGGGAACAAATGTACTGATAAAATGCTTTAATGTTTTATCCTTTTGAATTTCCCTTCGGGGATTAATAAAGTATTTCTGATTCTGATTCTGAGGTACAATTAATTACAAATTGATTTCATGCTTTATTATTATTTCGGGAATGGAATTTCGTGCAGTAATATAAATCATCAAATATATATTATGTATGTTTTTCCACATTATAAATTCTATCCATGGTTCACAGAACCCCATTCCCCTTTACAATAATTCAATACATGCAGGTAAACGTGCAATAATTAACACCTGTGTATATGTGATTGAAGAGTGACATTGAAATGCGCCAGGGCACCATGTCCCTGTGCCCCCCCCCACAGGCTGACTTCCCTGTGTGATTGCCTGTAGTTCCTGACCACCAAAGATGGTAGAAATCCAGGAATCTCTTCTCTGGCCGTCACCCAGATTTCACAGAACCACAGTTATAACTCTCATCAGGGGTTGTTATTTGAAAAGAGATCATGGTTCGCTGGGCTTGAATGAAGGAGGACCTTTCAAGCTTAAACAGGGTATTAAGTTATTCTTTCATGTGGTTGTCTTTAACGTCACTTTCACTCTGCTGGTAATTATGAATGTTCTGTTTAATCTGCTGCTGGTGCTGTTCTTTTCTCCCACCAACACTAAATCCTCCTCCTCGTACGTTATTTTGTCCTTTTCAAACTAGAGCTGTCATCTTCACCCTCCTGCATAATATAAACACCATATCTCAGAGACAGTGTGTGAGTTAGATGGGATTTTGTGTTTGTACCTTTCGGGTTATGATATGCTCTCTTCACAGTTCTCCGCCGCACAGCCTCATTTAGAGAGCTCCCTCAGGTTCAGAGCTTTTCCTGCCAAGTTCACTTTTTCTTTTTGGCAGTAAATGTCTCCAAGTCCCTTGATGTTAAGTGTGTGTGACTTAACTTCTGGCCATCAGATGTCAACATGTATCCCTCTCTTTCCATAAAACGGTGTCTTTTGGGGTTGTTTCCTGTTTTTAGTTCATTAGTTCACCAGTGACTCACTCAGTAAAAGACCGAGGCTCACATTTTGAGAGTATGTAGAAACTGCTCCTAGCAAGCCTGATATGAGCTCACCCTGACTCGTTCGTCAGCTTCCGGAGGCTCCTAAAAAAACAAACATTTGAGGGTCCAGAATCACTGATAAGCAACTGTACAGACCTGCAGTGGACAGCAGGAGGAAAATGACCGTCAGGACATTGAAGGACTGCCGGCTGGTGATAGTCATCTTCTTGTCCTCATGTGGGAAGGAGGGAGGGTGCAGGAGCAAGAGGGAAGGGGGGAGCTGCTCAGCTTTAGCTGGATGTGGGCATCCTCTGCTCGCTGACGGCTCCGCTCACATGGCTGCTGTTTCTGGGAGTCAGGACTCCTGATGGGAACAAGACAAGCAGATAGAGAGAAGATGAAGTTATCTGCTTTGGATTTCTGGACGTTTCTGGGAGTCCCCCCCCCCCACTGTGCGGACAGCTTGTCTGACAGCGAGGGCCCCTGATGCATCTGAAATCTGTCCCTTTGGTTTATATAACAGAAAGGCTTGGGCATGAATTTTAATTAAAATTGTCAGTCTGACAACACTGGGGCTAAAAGTTGTTTCATACTTTTCAAATTTGTGAGGTGAATAAAGCTTCTCTGTATTTGATAAAAGAAAAAGTTTGCTTATATATAGACATTGATTATTGTGATATTGCTAATAATATTGACTGTTTTCATAATTTAAAACCCTCAATCGATAAAAAAATCAGATAAGACGAGGTCAAATTTCAAACTGAACATCATCATATATAT